GGTTGTTAACCAATGTCATAAAACAATATGCGTACTACTGTTTCATGAGAAACTATTTGTTCTGTAAACCTTCACCTGAAGTACAACTAAAAAAAAAAAAAACTTACTTGTCTGGGTCCCACTTGCTCAGAAACGAGCTTTCAAGGCTTTTAACCAAGTCTAATCTACTGATGATTCATTCAAGGGTACATTGAGTTAATGTGTTTGCCACCCACTCCTCAGACCTACTAATAATACTTTTTTATGTTTGTTTGGAGCGCTACAATTTATAAAACACGCTCATATATAATTTTTTTTTTTTTTTTTTGCATCCTCACAGCAGCCCTGGGAGGCAGGTACTGGTATCTTTAAAGACGAGAAACTCAGTTTTTTTGCTTAAAAAGAAATAACTAATCACGTCAAAAGAAAGTCTAGAAAACGCTCCAAACCTAGGCCTCTTTTAATCTCAGCATAGCAAACTTTGGAGGGCTGGTAGTACAGTGGTTAAGAGTTCAGCTGCTAACCAAAAGGTCAGCAGTTCAAATCTACCAGCCACTCCTTGGAAACCCTATGAGTCGGAATCAACTGGACGGCAACAGGTTTGGTTTTGGTTTTCATAGCAAACTTCAGCCGAGGTCTGCTATCAACAGGAGGAATGATTTTACCTGCGGGGAGGGTGGAATCTGACATATAGGGTAGGTAGCTGGCAGGCTGTTGAGGACAGAGCAGCCTTAATGTATGCCCTGATGCTCACCTGCCCTTCCAGAGCTGGAAGATGGCCCCCATCTGCCCCAGGCTAATGCATCCTTGGTCATAATCCCAGTTGAGGGTTTTGGAATTATTAGGGTCCTGCCTTCCAGGAGCTACAGCCTCTGAGGCAGAATGGGGTTGTGGGCACACACAGAAGACAGACCCTAGTGCCCCTGGGCAATTGTACCCCCTTCCACCAGCCAAGCCAGCAAAGAGAGACTGAACAGCCATGATGGGTGTACCCTCTGGTAAGTGCTATGAAGGATGCCAATGGAATTAAGCACATATTTTGGGCAATAAAACCATGTGAAGAGTTAAATAGCAGTTGGCAACAAAGATGGAAGAAATGTTCAAAGATCCTATATAATTAGTTGCCAAGTGAACCACAAAGGAAACCGTCACTTTAGAAATTAAGATGATGGGAACGCTGCAGCCCTGAACACCCTCATCCCAGCAGCCAGGGAGCCCATCTGCCCACCTCCCACCACAGCAGAGCGGAGGCCCCAGAATCAAAGGACGAGCAGGCTGTCCTTAGGACCTCAGGGATCCGATGCTTCTGTCCTCTGCTGGACATCTCTACCACTGCCTCCCACCCCAGCCCATTTTTGGGAACCCTATGTATACCTGACTCCATCCCCTTGGGCACAGTCTTCCAGCCTTGAGGAGGATACCTGGTCCCAGTTGGGCCAGTGTGAGACTCTTTTATCTGGCAGTAGGGTACAGAGGGAAAGAAATTAATTCTGAGAATTGAGTGAAAGTATGCATGTCCCTGGAGTCCCTGGGTGGTGCAAACGGTTAACACACTAGGCTACTGACTGAAAAGATGGCAGTTCAAATTCATCCAAAGGTACCTTGGAAGAAAGTCCTGGAGATCTACTTCCAAAAATCAGCCATTGAAAACTCTATGGTTCTACTCTGACACACATGGGGTCACCATGAGTTAGAAATGGCTTGACAGCAACTGGTTTTTATTGCTTGCCCATACTGTGCTAGCTATTGTATGGAAAATGATAGAAATAGTGCTTACGCTCTACCATCTGGGAGGACACAACAAAACCACTCACAAAACAGAGAACAAGCAAAGAGGCAGGTATCTGCAAGGGCATGACAGGGCATACTGTGCAGGCTCACAGATAAAAGAAACAAGAAGACTGGAATTAGAGGAAAGACTTGATTCACAGGGAAGGGGGAGCTGGGGTGTGTGGCAGTTATTACCTCCCAGCTCCAAATCTTCCCTTCTTTGCCCGGCTTTGTGATACTGGAGCTGGGCCCTGTATCATTTCTGCTTTGCCAGATGGCTCAATGCTGACTTTGTCAGTAGGGGCTCTGAAGGGGTTCTGTGAGTCCATGGCAGGAGGAACGGGGTTCCTGTTTGCAGCACAGCAGGCAGCAGATCAGTGCGTGAGAGGCTTCACCTACTTTATGGCCCTTACAGACCAGATGTGGCCCATACCAACCACTAACTTTCTCCACCAATTGCTGGGCCCCTCCTATGCACCAGTTCTGACTCACAGCCTCCAGTGAGTGTGACCAGCCAGTAGGCTGCTCCAACAGATTAGCTCTGGACCATACCCTCCAGCAAGTTTCTTTGTTATCTGACAGATTCCTCCTACAGACCAGCACAGCCTCCACCCTCCAGCAAGTTTCTCTACCACCCAACCGGCCACTCCAACATACCAGCTGCAGCCCACACCCTCTCACAAATCTCTCTGCCACCTGGAAGGCCGCTCTCATGGACCAGCTCTGGCTCACGCCTTCCACCACATTTACTTACACGTTTCCTGCCACGGCTGTGGGCTCCTGGGGCAGCCCTGCCTGCTCCAGCAAGGTCTGAATCCCAGCCTTGGGACTACAGGGCCCGCTGCTAAGTTCTTAGTCCCTTCCTTGTTCATTCTCCCTCAGCCCTGGAGGTAGTTGCTGCATTACACATTTGCTACTTCGGTACCTTAGAATCTTCTTTTACTCCTTTTGGGAGTTAAAAACCAAACCAAATCTGTTGCCCTCGAGTCCATTCCAACTCGTAGTGACCCTACAGGACAGAGGAGAACTGCCCCATAGAGTTTCCAAGGAGCAGCTGGTGGATTCGAACTGCTAACCTTTTGGTTAGCAGCCATAGCCCATAACCACTGCGCCACCAGGGCTCCATTTCAGGAGTTAACCACCTTTTAATAGTTAACAATTCCTTATACTAAATTTTCCCTGTTGAAATTACAAGTGTGACTGGACCCTGTCTGATACATAGTGTTGGCCCCTGACATTGAATTCGAATAGAATAAGATGAAAAAGGAGGGCATTTCAGATCAAGAGAACATAAGCAAAGCTGTGTACACACGCACATGCATGTGTGTGTGTGTGTATATGTGCGCGTGTGTATGTGTGTGCGCGTGTGTGATTTACTGAGGGATACAGGTGCTGAGGAAGATACTAGCTCAACACAAACCTGCTGCACCACTTTCTTTAGACTGGATACAGATCTGCATTTGTCTCTGATACTGGCAGCCCTCAGAAGCATCAGCCTCTCCCTGCCAAGCCCATCCACCAGGGAGTAGAGCCGGGCTCTGGTGCCCCTCACCTGAAGCTTGAACAGGCCCCAGGTAGGGTGTCTCTCAGCACAGAGAGATGGTCACCTTCAGAAGACACTGTCTGGGCAATGTGGGGAGCCTCTCTGGTCACACTAGCCCAGGAAGGCCAGTCTACCCCGACTCACCAGTTACTCGGCACATCAGCTCTTGGGGGCAGTGACTGTGTGTGCCCCCTGCATACTCTGTGCACCTCAGGGCAAGCTGTGTATGCTCCATAAATGTAGACTGATGACAACCATGGGTCATATGCTCACAAAACCATCATCCATGAAACTGAGTCAGCATCTACCACAAATGGCACCCACATTTCAACCAAAGAAGCCCCAAAGTCACCTTCAACCAGCTTCTAAACAAGCACACGCACACACACTCTCATATGGAGGTGAGGAATGTTACCACTCAACAAAAAGTTAAGGCTGTCCTTTTAAGGCCAAAAGGCACAAATTCTGAATTGCAGAGTAGGCACTCTGAGCTCCAGGGTCCCTTTCCAGCTCCTGCCCCTACAGCTTCACTATCCTCTGGGATCATAAAGTAGGCCCGATTCAGACTTTCAGGAAACTAATGACTTAGTGCAAACTCCATCTTTCAGCATTCCCTTACTGTACCATAAGGAGCTAAGCCTGCTGGTAGCAGGGAATATATACGAGAATCTCAGGATTCTTCTATGCAAGTATGCTCAATGGGAAAGCAAAGCTTCCAGAATTTCCTAACCTCTGCATTCCCCTGAATCTAGTCCTTCATACCACACACATCTTTGAGCACTGATCCAAGCACGAAACAATGAGGGACATGCAGATAAATAATACATAGTCGCTGACCTCAAAGAGTTTATAACGGTGTTC